CCAAAGCAGACCCTTAACTGAATGAGCCAGCCAGGTGCCCCTCGACTTCTCTCTCATGTCAGGGATGGGCTGGTAGGTGAGGTCTGGTCTGTGCTATCATCAGACACTAGAACTTTTCTATCCCTAAAGTGTTGGCCTCCTTCAAGGAGTCCAAGATGTCTCAGCTATGCCCACTCCAGCCAGGGGAAGGGGAAAGGCACCCAGGGAGGGGACAGCCCTTCCCTTTAAGGCTGTGGTCCTTACACAGATGCCTCTTGTTCAGTTCCCACTGGCCCAAATCTAGTTTCTTTCTTTTCTTTTCTTTTTTTTTTAAGATTTCATTTATTTGAGAGAGAGAGAGCACAAGCAGGGGGCGCGGCAGAGGTAGAAGGAGAAGCAGACTTCCTGCCAAATAAGGAGCCCGATGTGGGGCTCGATCCCAGGACTCTGGGATCATGACCTGAGCCGAAGGCAGACGCTTAACCGACTAAGCCACCCAGGGGCCCCACATCTAGTTTCATTGTATTATCTGGGCTGCCGCAAGGGAGGCTGGGAAGTGTCCACTGTGGGTAGCCACATGCCACCTGAAATTTCTATTACCAGGAGCAAGGAGAGGAGAGGTGTTGGAAAAACTAGCAATCTCCACCAAAGGCACTGACACGGATTAGAATTAACACCCAGTCACATTCCCAAATGATGCTTTGTACCCAGCTGGAGCCAGGATATTTCTTTCAAAAGCTCTTTTTCTCTTTCTTTTTAAATCATTCCACAAATATTTGCCTGTGATGTACTGAAAATAAGCAAGTGAAAAGATGCTGTTACTATCTTCAAAATGCTAATAACATAGCGTGGCACCAAATAAGTGATCCCAGTGTAGTGTAGCGTGGAGAACAGATGGTGGTGATCCAACTAAGAGAAGAGGGAGGGGGAGGGAGAGAAGGGAAGTGGGGCTTCCTAGCTCCAGTGCATTCTGGGGCAACACCAGACCTAGCAATTAAAGGCTGAGTGTATCAACTGTACTTGAACTAATGAAACTGAGGATCCAATTCATGGCTTTGTGAGACCACAAATGTACCTTTTAATTTAATTTAATTTAATTAATTAATTTATTTATTTTTAAAGATTTTATTTATTTATTTGCCAGACAGAGATCACAAGTAGGCAGAGAGAGAAGGGGTGGGGAAGCAGTCTCCCCACTGAGCATAAAGCCTGATGTGGGGCTCGATCCCAGGACCCTGGGATCATGACCAGAGCTGAAGGCAGAGGCTTTAACCCACTGAGCCACCCAGGCACACTGTACCTTTTTATTTTTATGGGTAACGTATTAATACAATGTTTACTATACGCTTTCCTGGTGCAAGCCTTGTCCTTCATCTCAGTTTTCTTTTTTTTTTTTTTTTTTTAAAGATTTTTTTTTATTTATTTATTTGACAGAGAGAGATCACAAGTAGATGGAAAGGCAGGCAGAGAAAGAGAGAGAGAGAGAGGGAAGCCAAGCAGAGAGCCTGATGCGGGACTCGATCCTAGGACCCTGAGATCATGACCTGAGCCGAAGGCAGCGGCTTAACCCACTGAGCCACCCAGGTGCCCCCATCTCAGTTTTCTTATTAGAGACAGTGCCATCACTCATCTCACTACATATTTGGGAGCAAAGCATACTCAGTTATTCAAAATCATTTACTGAAGTTTGCCTTCATGCTGGGCACACGGTATAAGCAAATATACAAAACTAGAGAAAGAAATTGCGGAAGGATAATTGCTTGCTTTTATCTTAGTTCTTCTCCAGCTGGAGGACAAAATGGACTTTTATCTTAATTTGACACCTTTATGATCTTGTGATCTTTGTATTATTGGAATAATTGTAGCACACATTATTTTAAAAATTAAAAAGGAAAGATTTAGACCCCTGGGCAGAGGTTGGTCTGTGGCATTTCGATTCGACTACTACCGGTCACTTCTGAGTTAAACAGAAGAGGATGGTGGAGATTATTTATGGAATTTGGCTCTAAGAAAACAACTCAATTTCCTGAGATGGCGTAAGTTTGTGACTTCAAAGGGAAACATCTGTATTTCCTTTTCCAAAAGTACTTTATTTGCATCAAAATGGACCCTGTGATATTTTGGTGCTTCCATAAGATGGCGACATAATCCTTCAGATGACAAGTCTTGCTGGTTTTAAAAATATAGATCTAGAAATATTTTAATAGACACGGTAAAAAAACATTTTTTTTTTTTTTAAAGAAAAATTCTCGGGGCACCTGGGTGGCTCAGTAGGTTAAAGCCTCTGCCTTCGGCTCAGGTCATGATCTCAGGGTCCTGGGATCAAGCCCCTCATCGGGCTCTCTGCTCAGCAGGGAGCCTGCTTCCCCCTCTCTCTCTGCCTGCCTCTCTGCCAACTTGTGATCTCTGTCAAATAAATAAATAAAATCTTTTAAAAAAAAAAGAAAGAAAAAAGAAAAATTCTCATATCCCCACCATTCTAAAACAACCATGTTCACTTGGGTATGCTTGCTTCTAGTTTTTGTCACTATGCATACATAATTACATAGGTACACTCATCACGTGCATGGCATTTTTTTTTTAAGATTTTTTTTATATGTCAGAGAGTGCACGTGCACAAACAGGGGAGCGGCAGGTAGAGGGAGAAGCAGGCTCCCCGCTAAGCAAGGAGCCCGAGGCAGGACTCGATCCCAGAACCCTGGGATCATGACCTGAGCCGAAGATAGACACTTATCCAAAACTTAGCCACCCAGGCACCCCGTGCATGTCATTTTAGTCTCCTTTTTGAAAATTCAGCACAACGTAGATTTTTTACCTGTTTCTACATGCACTACATACTTATTATAGTGGTGACATAATATTCTACCTATGAACCACTTAGGGTCAGACGTTATGTGGTATACGTTTTTTCACTATTACAGATAATGCTGTGGTTAATATCTTCGGCACACAAATTTTGGATTATTAAGAATTTTCGGGATGAGATCACTGTGTTTAAGAAGACTTTTCTCTTTAGCTTTCCGAAGGATTGGACAGAGGTCCTTTGCCTTCAGCACTGTATGAGAGTACAGGTTCTGACCTGCTGCCCTAGCCTCGTGTCATTGTTTTTCTATGTCCTAACTTATACCTGCCACCACACATTCATTTCATTCGACACATATTTATCAACACACGGGCCCATGCTTAATACCGAGTACTGGGAATATAGTAAGGAGGAAAGTACAGTCAGATGGAGAGCCAGATTTTTAGTCCATGAGCAGAGATGTAAGCCCCACTACGGTTCCACGAAAGGGATGCGGTGCCCCTTCCTGGGGAGATTTGATGTCATCGAGAGGGTCCCCTGAGTCCCTGTGCACACTAGCCTGGGACCTCGCTGCAATGCTCCCTTTGCCTAGGACACTTGGTCTTGTGAGCTGCTCCGCTCCTTCAGGTCTCACTGCAAACCTCACCACCAGCTTTGCCTCCGCTCCTGACAGGGCTGGAAAGCAAATCGAGAACTGGCGAGAGGACGTGGGGGTACTTCACGAACGGGGTGTCCTGCGCTGCGTGGGCCCTTCTCAGTGGTCTGCTGCAGAAATGAAACCTTAACTTGAAGAATACGTCTGATCATAGTAGGACCGCTCGGAACGCTTTACTATTTTTCATTCCATTTTATGTTTTTTTGTGGTAAAAGAGACGTGACATACAATTTACCACTTTAGCCACTTTTAAGTGTCAGAAATTCGCATTGTTCAGCTGTCCCCACCCTCCACTTTTGGAACTTTTCCATCTTCCCAAACTGAAACTGTCCTCACTGAACACTAGCTCCCACTCCCCACCCCCCCACCCCCGCCCCGCAGCTGCTGGCCACCAGCATTCTACGTTCTGTCTCCGTGAATGTGACGGCTCTGGGGGCCTCATATAGTGGAATCTTACAGTACTAGTCCTTTTGTGTCTGGCTGATTTCACTTAGCCTAAAGACTTTAAGGTGCATCCATGTTGTAGGATGTGTCAGAATTTCCCTCCTTTTTAAGGCTGAGTAATGTTCCACCGTCTGTGTACATCGCATTTGTTCAAACAGTCATGTGACAGTGGACATGGGGGTGGTTTCCACCTCAGGCTATTGTGAATAAGGTGGCTATGAACACGGGTGTACACGTACCTGCTGGAGTCTCTCCTTTCAATTATTTTGCACATCTACCTAGAAGAGGGATCAAATGCTAATTGTTTGCTTTCCTATTGAGAATGTGCTTTTGGGGTGCCTGGATGGCTCAGTCGGTTAAGTGTCTGCCTTCAGTTTAGGTCATGACCCCGGGGTCCTGGGATCGAGCCCTGCATCGGGCTCTCTGAACAGCGGGAAACCTATCTCTCTCTTTCCCACTCCCCTTGCTTGTGTTCCCTCTTTCACTGTCTCTCTCTGTCAAACAAATAAATTAAATCTTTAAGAAAAGAAAATGTCTTTTCATGCACATTGGGATCAAATTTGATTTTATAGCAGCCTTGCGAGACAAGTGTTAATCTCTTCTCTGGCTCTGAAAAGTGGTTTACCCAAAGTGGAGTGATACATGGAAGTATCTGACCTGGAACTTGGCTTTCTCCTTGATCATCACTATTAAAAGTGGTCCAGGTCACATGTGTTCCTTCCAAGAACAATGGCCTTCTTCTTCATTTTTTAAAAGATTTTATTTATTTGAGAGCACAAGCAGTGGGGGAGAGGCAAAGGGAGAAGCAGACTCCCTGCTGAGCAGGGAGCCTGATGCGGGGCTTGATCCCTGGACCCTGGGACCCTGACCTGAGCCAAAGGCAGATGCTGAGCAGGCTCAGCTACCCAGGTGCCCCGAGCAGTGACCTTCTGATTGCAAGCAGCTTTGTCTGCCATCAGCTCCTGCCCTTATCTGCCCTGACCATTCTGTCCAAGGTTGACCAGGGCTGGGTCCAGGTACCACGGCAAGGAAGAGGGGCTGTGTCTGTGGCCCCAGCAACAAAGGCTTCTCCTTTTGGTCTGTGTTTCTCTCTTGCAGTTCAGCTCCAACATCTGAACCATGAGGATCTGGTGGCTCCTGCTTGTCGCTGGAATCTGCACAAGAAACATGAACTCACAGGACACATGCAGGCAAGGGCACCCTGGCATCCCTGGGAATCCTGGTCACAATGGTTTGCCTGGGAGAGACGGACGAGATGGAGCAAAGGGCGACAAGGGCGAGGCAGGTACTCAGCATCTGGTACTTCAGCTGCCCTTCCGTTTACCCTTCTGTTTCTCTTAGATCTTTGTTCATTCATCACAAGCGTAGCCATCACCTGCCTGACCCCACTCCTTCATTCGTGCACCCCTTGCCCAGAAAGCAGGGGCCGGGGGCCTGCTCCAGGTCAGATTCTGGGCAACAGTGCAGGACCAGACCAACAGGGCTTCCCCTCCATGGATGTTCTCATCTAGGGGGGACAACTGTTAGCCATCACCTCTGATACTACAGGCCATCCTCAGAAGGATATGATGTTGTAGATCTTTCTGCCTCAGATGGCAGTTATGGTGGGTCTTTGGCACACGGGGCCTATAGAGAAATCTGATTGCTAAACGTTTAGCAGAGAGTGCCCGGCTGCAGAGCAGGGGAGAGTTATTGCCTTGCCACGCAGTGAGGCAGGTGACGCGGAGTGACAGAGAATACAAAAAGACGGTAACTGAAACCACACAGCGGTACTCAATTGTGCATGTCCTCTGTTGGAGCCCATCCCAGGGTTTGGGGATTTGGGGACAGGATCCAGCCCCTAGGGAGGAGATCTGCAAAAGCCAGGCTATGTGAGCGGTTTCCATAACACCAACTAATAGGCTTGGTTCTTGAATGGGGTTCTTGAGCCTGGGTCTGACTATAGGGTCACCTAGCTGAGACATAAGCAGACTGATCTATCTGGGTGCAGGGAGAAAACATCAAAACTATTGACACTTTTTTATTTTTAAAAAAGATTTATTTATTTGAGAGAGAGAGCGCATGAGTCTGTGGGGGAGGGCTAGAGGAGAAGGACAGAGAATCAATCTCAAGTAGACTCCCTGCTGAATGTGGAGGCTGACATGGGGTTCAATCCCAGGACCCTGAGATCATGACCTGAGCCAAAATCAAGAGTCAGACACTTAACTGATTGAGGTACCCAGGTGCCCCTACTATTGACATTTTAAAAGATAAATTAACATGAAGGAAAAAAAAGAGCTTTAAAAATATTGGGGTGCCTGGGTGGCTCAGTTGTTAAGCATCTGCCTTTGGATCACGTCATGATCCCAGGGTCCTGGGGTGGAGCCTGCATTAGGCTCCCTGCTCAGCGGGAAGCCTGCTTCTTCCTCTCTCACTCCCCCTGTTTGTGTTCCCTCTCTCGCTGTGTCTTTCTCTGTCAGATAAATAAATAAATAAATAAAATCTTCAAAAAAAAAAAAATTAAGATGTGAATTGACTTGGGTGGCTTCACTTGGTCCCTTTGCAGATGGACCTCTACCATTTGAGGTCTGAAATGTGTTCTGTAGGAGGAGGGGGTGCCCTCACACGCTCATTATCCAACAGTGTACTGTGGTGTATCGTGGTTATGACCCAGCCCAAGGGATTTTCAAATTGTCCTATCAAACTATCACAAACAGATGGGTGCCTAAAATGCTTCTGCAGAAAAATCAAAAATTGAAGATTGACTTGATAATGCAAACATGAAAGAATCCCACGAAAATAGGAGAGCTGTCATCTGTCTTCTTAGTGTGAACTCTTCAACTGTAAGTGAGTAGGAGAAAACAGTGATGAACTAATCAGATCTGACAAGAAGTCTGGCGAAAACCTAGAAATTTTAGGACTTTGGACATATAAATTTATATTTACATTCATTAAAATGAACCTTATCCTCACTGTAAACTTTAACATGAGATGTCAGTTATTAATAGAAGCACCCCCAATTAATCAGACATTTCAGGACTCTGTGTGGAATATGACCACAAACCACTGTCATTTTTCCTCGGCAATACATTATAGTATGAAAACTTCACTAAACTTAATGATGAACATTTAGAAGCCTTTTTGATATTTCATAATCATATCAGAAGATTAGATATTCCTCTGGCTATATTAACAGTAGTTGAAATAATACACAGCAACTTCAGGATGGACTAAAATTAATGCTTTGCCAGCAAATACTGTTGGCATATGGATTTTTAAAAAGTCTTTGTTAAGATCTGGAAAAATGAGTCTTAGAACAAATTACTTATGGGAAGTCCACTCTATAGATGAATGAAAGGCTAGGTGTTTCTAAGTGTTTCCCAGTTTTTGGCATCTGGTGTTCCAAGGGGTTTGTTGGGGGGCTAGATGAAGCAGGTGATCACCAACCATCTCTCTGACCACTGCCCTTCAGCCCTTCAGTCTGCTCTGTGGGGTCTCCAATGGGGAATATGTCCAGTGAGTCCATGCCACTTTTTAGAGTGGCAATAGTCCAGTCCCATTTCTGGGTAGTAACAAGCCCAGTCCAAGTTAATGGCAAAACCTCAATGTCAATGAAATCCATTCTTTCACCCTCCCACTGGGACCACAGTGCATGTGTGTGTGATATGGGTGCACACGTGTGATGTGGGTGCATACGTGTGGGTATAATGTGTGTGTACACACACAGGATACAACTCTGACTTCATGACTCCTTCGTCTTTTGCCTCCAATCTTCTTCCTTACAGCAAGGACTGCCTTTGACTCTAGAGATGTTGACCTCTAACATGGGAAGTCAGACCTCAGCCTGCTCTGAGCTCAAAACTTATGTGTGGTAGGCAAAACCTCACTCACCAGAGGTTCCCAATAGCGTCTGCCATGCCAACTTGATCAGTGACATTTACCACCATTCTAAGGTGCTGGAGAGATCCTTCCAGAATCCTCCCTTTCATCCCAAATAGTGCCAGGTAACTGTAGTCATCCATGTTTTCATAGGAGGCTAGTGAACCTTCCATTCCATTCTATGCAAGAGAGATAGAAAAGGAGAAGTGAGAAGGCCACCTGGTGCCTCCAATGGTCAGTCACTATCTGAGTTCCCCTCACAAGAGAAAGATGTAACTGTGATCCTCTGTGCACATACTCCCTTCCTGTCCTGACTTCCCAGAGCTGGGTGCTTGGGAGGTCCACCCAGCGCATTTCATAGTTCACTTCTTGTACACAACTCCGCACCCCTGGTGCTCAGTCACGTCTGCCTCTCTCCATCTGCACTTCTGAGAGGGGCAGTGTGTGTGTTAGGGCTGGGCACACACCCAGGACTCTCCAGTCTATACCCACGATGGAGACCACTGTCTAGGAAATGTGGAATTAGAACTTGAACTCTTGTTTGTTTTCTTCTCTTCCACCTAGGAGAACCAGGCCATCCTGGTGGTCCGGGGAAGGATGGAATGACTGGAGAGAAAGGAGAACGAGGTCAGAAATTGTGTTCATCTTACCATGCTGTAATTCCGAGCCATCGGTGACTTAATAACCATTTTGTGCTCACCAAGGACAAGTCCTTTCCTAGGCTCTGAGGACGATCCAACAATAAGGGCAAGATCGCTCTTGCTCTCTAGAATCTCGATTCTTTTTCTGTAAAGGGCCAGATCATAAGTAATCTCAGCTTTGCTGACATAGGGTCTTGGTCACAACTGCTATGTAAAGTAGCCACGGATACTAAATAAGTATGTGGGGCTGTGTTCCAGTGAAACTCTATGAAAACGGAAATCTGAATTTTATGTAATTTTCATGTAGTGCCGAATATTATTTGTGACCATTTAAAAATGCAAACCATTCTTAGCTTGTGGGCCACATAAACAGGTGGGAGGTTGGATTTCGTTCAAGGGCCATTGTTCGCTAAAGCCCAGTTTAGTGGATGAACATTGAGGATGATTGAGGATGAACATTAAATTCTGACTCAGTGTTTCTGGCAAGACTGCATGGAGAAGGTGGCGCTGGAACTGGACCCTGGGGGGTAAGGAGGGCTCTAGTGGTTTTGACTAATGGGGAGAGAGAAGTCACAACAGCAAACACAAATAATGTTCACTTTGTGCTAGGTTGTTCTAAGTGCTCTTCATGTATTGACTCAATATGACAGCCTGTACATGAGGTAGTATCGTTATCCCAATTTTACAGAGGAGGAAACAGAGGGCCAGGTGGCTAATCAGCTTGCCTAATGTCCCATTGTGCCTACTTGGAGGAGACAGGATTGAACCATGGCATTTATCTCCACAGACTCCGTGCTCATAACCACGGCTCTCCAGCCGGGGAGGAGGAGATAGGGAAGCACTGAGAATGTATGCACAGTGGGGACCGGGGTCATACAGTCAGTACAGTGGACAGGCTGGCCTGGCCAGCAGAGAGCAGAGACTCCCACATTTGAGGAAGACTTTATTCTGTGCTCACTCCCATGAGGAGTTTTGTAAAAGATGAAAAGAAGTAGGGTGAATTTAGTTAACCAAAAGCAGCCCGAGTTCATCTGCCTTTGGACATTCTTCCCCCTTCCAAAGACAACATTCTCAAGGATCTACATGGTTTAGTAGTCTGAGCAGTAGACTGGGTTGGTAGAGAGCTGTGGTTTCTAATATAAACCCCAACACTAACACAGTCGACAGGAGTCAGAGGTGTTTTGCGTATATGCACGTGTGTGTGTGCATGCATGTGTGTGTGTGTGCTGTGCACTCATTTTAGGAGTAAATTAATGTTCAGACCCTGAGCAGCTACTGAACCCGGGCACTGCTTTATTTCATTCATATACTCAACAATGGCAAAGCCAAAGTTGGTTTTATAAGTTGATGTTTCACAAATCATCTTTTCCTTTTTTCTCTCTTTTTCCATCTAGGAGCAGATGGAAAAGTTGAAGCCAAAGGCGTCAAAGGCGATCAAGGCTCACGAGGACCCCCAGGGAAACATGGGCCAAAGGGATTTGTTGGTCCCATGGGAGAGAAAGGTCTCAGGGGAGAGATTGGCCCTCAAGGGCAAAAGGGGGATAAAGGCAATGTGGGGCCCATTGGTCCAGAAGGGCTAAAGGGCAGCACTGGGCCTTCGGGCCCAATGGGTCTACCTGGCCCCGTGGGCCCCATTGGGAAGCCTGGCCCCAAGGGAGATGCTGGGCCCTTGGGACCGCAGGGAGATCCAGGAGTCCGGGGAATGAGAGGCTGGAAAGGGGACCGAGGCGAGAAAGGGAAAATTGGTGAGACTCCAGTCTTGCCCAAGAGTGCTTTTACGGTGGGGCTCACGGTACTAAGCAAGTTTCCAAGTTCAGATGTGCCCATTAAATTTGATAAGATCCTGTATAATGAGTTCAATCATTACGACGTGGCCAGGGGGAAGTTCATTTGCCACATTGCGGGGGTCTATTACTTCACCTACCACATCACCGTTTTCTCCAGGAACGTTCAGGTATCTTTGGTCAAAAATGGGGTGAAGATACTGAACACCAAGGACGGCTACATGAGCTCTGAGGACCAGGCGTCGGGAGGCCTGGTGCTGCCGCTGAAGCTGGGGGACGAGGTGTGGCTGCAGGCCGCGGGAGGGGAGAGGTTCAACGGCTTGTTCGCAGATGAGGACGACGACACGACCTTCACAGGCTTCCTTCTGTTCGGCAGCCAGTGACGGGCAGGTGTGCAGGACCTGCCGCCCCGTCCCCCCTCGGAGCTGGCTTGGTGGACAGGTTCTCAGATGGCTCTGCTCTGCGACTCACTCTGATTACTGTAATCGTCACAGAGCGACAACAATAGGAAAGCTATCCTAAGGCCGATTTTATGTGACTTACATTGCTGTTTCCAAGAGTAAATTTAAAAATGCTTGCACTAGGGCGCCCGGCAGGCTCATTCGGGGGAGCCTGTGGAACTCAGGGTTGGGAGTTCCAGCCCCACAGTGGGTATAGAGATTAATTAAAAATAAAATCTGGGGGTGCCTGGATGGCTCAATCGGTAGAGCGTGCCGCTCTTGATTTTGGGGTCATGATCTGGAGCCCTACATTGGGTGTGGAGATTACTTAAAAAAAAAATCATATAAATAAATAAATGAAATCTTAAAGGATGCTTGCCTTATCTATTATAAGTTATTTATGATTTTCCATCATTTCCCTTACTGGAAGAGTGCTTTGCATATACATTTCTTATAGGACTGGTGTTCTGATGTCATTTTAGTGCTTGGAGGAACCAAATCAGGACTTAGCCCTCATCTGAATTTCTGAGGACACTGGGAGAAAGAAGAGGGAAGTGTTCAAATGTTCATTCCATTTCATAACTAATAAGAGTTGTAAGCAGGTGACAAAGAGACATCCCAGAGAGCCATGGAACACTTTGCTTGTTTTATAACCTAGGTTTTTACCACCATTCAGTTCAAAAATAGTTGTTTATGAGACCATTTGCCAGACTTGAACCTGTGTTTGGTTCCTAGGACGGCTGTAACGAAGTACCACAAACTGGGGAGTTTAAAACAACAGCAAGTGACTGTCTCACAGGGCTGGAGGCTAGAAGTCTAAAATCAAGGTGTCAGCACAGCCTCCCTCTGAAGCCTTCAAGGAGGGTTCTACCTTGCCGCTTCCAGCTTCAGGTGGACCCATGCATGCCCTGGCTTGTGGAAGCCTCCAGTTCTCCCCCCATCCTCACATAGCCATCTTCCCTCCAAGTCTGCTTGTGTGCAAACATCTCTCTCTGATAAGGACACCCGTCATTTAGAATAGGGGCTACCCTCTTCTACTGTGACCTTATCTTAACCGGATTACACCTATAAAGACCCTGAGTCCAAATAAAGTCACATTCATAGATACCAAGGGTTAGGACTTCAACATACCTATTTGGGAGACAAGTTCAACCTGTAATAGACTGCTCTGGTTCCTCCCAAATTCTCGATATTCCCCAGTGCCAAATATACTCTCCTTAACCCACATCCATCAGCATCAATGCTAAGTCTAAGAATGTCATCTAAAAATCACCAACTTAAAGTCCTCAGTCTCATCATCTAAATCCTCAATGTCAGTTGTAAGGAAGATCTACTGTGTGACCCATCCTGGGGCAAAATCCCTCTCCTTCTCTGAACCTGCAAAACCAGACACATTATTTGCTTCCAAAATACAAGGGGGAGGTGGGGGGGGGGGAAGGGCACAGAATAGACAGTCCCATTCCAAAAGGGAGAAAAAAGAAGGAAAAAAGGGATCACAGGTCCCAAAGGAAACCAAAACCCAGCAAGGCGAATTCCATTAGCTGTTTTTCACTGTTTACCTTATGAACAATTTTTAAAGATTTTATTTATTTATTTGACAGAGAGAGAGAGAGAGAGAGAGACAGTGAGAGCGGGAACACAAGCAGGGGGAGTGGGAGAGGGAGAGCAGGCTTTCCATTGAGCAGGGAGCCCGATGCCGATGCCAATGCCGGGCTCGATCCCATATCCTGGGATCATGACCGGATCCAAAGGCAGACACTTAAAGACTGAGCCACCTAGGTGGCTCATTTAAATTTTAAAAATTTTAAAGGAGCTACGCAAAAGGAAGTGGTTACTGGACAGAGGTTACTGGATAGATACACCAAACTGTAACAGAGGAAAGTGGAGGGTGGAGATGGATTTACTAAGACAGTGGGGTGGAAAGAAACTTGCCTTTTAGGCCACAGTGGATGGTTCTTATTCAAACACGTACCATCCACTTCCCTCTCGTCTGGTCAAAGCATCCTGGTGTGCACTCTCAGACAAGTCTTTTTTTTTTTTTTAATCAAAATTTTTAATTTTTTAATAAACATATAATGTATTATTAGTCCCAGTGGTACAGGTCTGTGAATCGCCAGGTTTACACACTTCACAGCACACACACAGCATATACCCTCCCCAGTGTCAGACAAGTCTTTCAAAGGGTGTAGACTCCACACTCCGCGGTGGACACAAGATTCAGGCTAATAAGAACAGCACCTTCTTCTGGTCACAGTGACTGTTTCCAAAATGGAGCCCGATCCAATCAGAGCCAATGAGATTCCATCTGCCACTTTGGAAGGCCGACTGGGGTGAGGGAGTCAAGATCTTCAGGTGAAGCTAGAATTTCAGGTGGCCGCATTTAGCTCATCTGTAGCGCCCCCACACAAAATCAAACAGGGCAGGAGACAGCCCAGGTCTGATGACAGTGTTGAGACCCCTCTGCCCAGCTGTCCCTGAAGGCAGAGATACCTCTGGACCATTGTGTTGCATGAGCCAGTCTGATGCAGGGCTTTTGTCTAAAAGAATATTAAGTAGTCTACGGCCCAAGGAGAGGGGCAGCATGATTGTAGTGGGAAAAGCCCAAGACTAAGAGTTGAGGTGTACGGTTTGTTGGTCCAGCCACGACAAAGGAATCTGAAGTGGGTACATTACTCAACTTTTCTGTGCCCCAGTCTCCTAGGGCATAGCAGTGCTGGAATGGAAGAATTTCATATGGTCCCAGGCCTCTAAAATGCTGGAAGGATTACATCAGTTAATATACTTTCTATTAATTAAGAGCAACTAATAAAGAAGCAAAATGATGCAAGCTCAGTGCATATTCAAGCTACACTATTTTCTAAATCACAGCCTGGGGCCAGTTTGTCTGACAGGGTGTGCCTCTAGAAATTGGGACTGAAAGCCATTCTATCTGTACTCCAACTGAATCAACATAGTTGTGATGATATCTTCATTCCCTGGGAAAAATGGGACTTTTGGGCAGGCAGCACTGCTGTAAATGAAATACTGAAAAACTACTTGGTGGTTATGGAAAATCTTGGAATTACACAGAATGAATCTGTTTATAGGTATTTTATTGGCCTTCCTTGTTTCTTCTAGAACAGAGCCACGACTGGGGGGAACCAAGTGAGGCACCCAGAGTGCGACACTACAGGAGGCACCCGCTTCAGGTGCTGACACAGCCTGGTCATGACCCTGACGGTGAGTCTCTCCTTCAGTTTTGCAGCCCAGCCCCCCCATCCTCCTTGCTGCCCTACTTAACGCTCAGCGGTAGCAGGACTGATCATTTATTGAGCCAGAGTGTCCTTATCCTTTGGCTTCTGCAGCTTTCTTGAATTGTAATAATCTAAGCTATTTCTCCGCAGGGTAAAGCCTGGTTTTGTTATGGACTGAACAGGGAGGCTACCTGTGCTAACTCCTTTCTATTTAGGAACACAACTTTATAGGTTGAAGTAGATGTGAAAAGAAAAAATACGTTTATGATCATACACAGGATATCAGCCTTTATAATTTTTTTTTTGAGGTCAAATATAGAAGATGAGATGTAAAACATGTCTTAAAGGATTTCAAAAAGATGACGTTGACTGGCAGGGGTGTGGTTGTGTTTAATCTGTCATATGGGATGATTTTTCATTGGTTGAATCTGGACTGCAGTTTTTAAAACTCTAATTATGCAGGCTCTCTGAGACACCGAATACCTTGTTAAGTTAGGACAAGTCATCATCCCCTGAGGACACTTTTGGGTTTAAGGGATGCATTACAGGTATCCTTGGAGGACAATCATTCTGGGCTAAAGGAAGGCTCTCAGATTTGAAACATCTTTGAAAAAAACGTGATGAAATAAGCATGTTTGTAAATATATTGATGAATTTTCTTTTTTTACACGACACTCCTGACATTTTTTTTTTTAAAGATTTTATTTATCCATTGGACAGAAAGAGATCACAAGTAGGCAGAGAGGCAGGCAGAGAGAGAGGAAGGGAAGCAGGCTCCCCGCTGAGCAGAGAGTCCGATGGGGGGCTCGATCCCAGGACCTTGGGATCATGACCTGAGCTGAAGGCAGAGGCTTTAACCCACTGAGCCACCCAGGCACCCCCACATCTGACATCTTTGTAAGGGTCTGCTACACAGGCAGGGTCTGTCATGTGGGGTTGCTGCCCTAAGAACCTACCAGTCAGCAATACTGTGATATTAATGTGATATTAATCACCATGGAGGTAGGGACTTGGAGATTTTAAATCATTAAATGATTAAATGATTTAAGTGATTTTTAAATAATTTTAAATCTTTGATTAAAAAAATCAGTAGAAAAGGAAATCACAGCTTACCATACAATCAATTGGGCTTTTTTCCTTGCCATGCTAAATTGAAAACAAACTCCGTTTGAAACTTTTTTTTTTCTTTCTTTTCTTTTTTTGGTGGAGGGAGGTAGGGAGGGAGATTAGAAGCTATCTTTAGGAAGCTTGTGCCACTCCTGGACTTAACTTCTGGCTCTCTAGAACTTTGCAGAAGGTTCTTAGGACTGCTTAAACTCAACGGGCAATGTTAAAATGAACACAGCTTTACGTTAAGCCTAAACATTCAGCTGAGATAAGGGTCTGGAAAGATTTCAAATAAAGCAGTTTAAGAAAACGTGACTGTGGATTGCCTGGGAATAACAATGCTCCCTTGGGTTCTTGGTCCTCTGCACAATTCACACCTCTGACACCCAAGGCAAAGGAATCAAGGTTCTGCAGTCTTAGAAGACCACAGCCATCAATGCCTTTTGCACTCAGACACTGATTTAACAGATTCACTTGGTATCTAGTTCCTGCATAAAACCTCAATGGAGAGGGGCACCTGGGTAGCTCAGTGGGTCAAGCATTGGACTCTTGATCTCAGCTCAGGTCTTGATCTCAGAGTTGTGAGTTTGGACCTGCTGTGGA